TTCTGTCCCAGTCCTGGTGATGTCAGGGAATGGGCCTAGAAAGTTTTGCATGCAAAGCATGGGTGCTACCATTGAGTTACGGCCCCTTCGTTGGAACAAAGGCCTAATGGACACAACTGAGTGTTGGATTTTGATTCAGATGTATCCAAAGGGATAATTGTAAGATCAACTTCTGTTGCAGTGTTTCATGAGGAAGATATTTTTTGCATAAAAATCCAAGAGTTTCAGTCTCACCGACCTCTAACTTGCAGTAGCAGTGGACAACATTGCAGGGTTGTTGTAAGCCAATATTAATACTGGGAGTTATTTTTAATGTATGCATTACATTACCTTTATTTTCATCAGGGAGCTCAAGCTGGTGCATATGGTGGGATATTGGATGGACTCTACAATCAATTTCCCATCCAAGTGTAGAGCAGACTCAGATCTGCTTAGCTTGAGTAAGGTGGCTACATCATGTAGCTCCAAGCAGAGCTATTTTTAAGATGTTAATAAATTTACATGAAATAATACCTGCTTTGGAAAGAACACAAACAATTTTTGTTACTTGTACTTGGAGGAGTGGGGTTGAGAAGCCTAGTATAATAAAAACAAAAATTCTGTGGCCTCTTAAAGAGTGTCTGAGGCAGCAGCTTGTAATCCAAGAAATTCGTGCTGAAATAAACCTATTTATTTTTAAGTTACAATTTATGGTAATTATGCAGATTATACATTGTGGGTATTCAATTTAGCAACCTGGGAAGGATAGAAGGCTGAGTGGACCACCAGCTAGCTACTGTACCTGGGATTGAACTCTAGTCATGAGAAGAGTTTTGACTGCAGTACTGCAGTTTAACCACTGCGCCAGGAAGCTCCAAATAGATTTTAACAGGAGTTTCTATTGGATTATTTGCTATTAAAGATATTTCAGATAAAATGTTGAGAACTGTTGGCTCAAAAAGGACCACCATAGTATCCACAGCCATGTAGAATACTCAGTGAGCAACGGAGGTAAATGAAAATAGAAGTCAGCAAACAATATATATAAAGTAACTCTATATATACTATAAAATATCAAACAGACTTAAAACCACCCATTTGTTATGCACAGCTTAATAAAAGAAAACAGAGCTTGTATGTAAAAATGTAACATAAACTTTACTAAATATACAAGAAAAAATACATACCAAAAAAGAGTTTTCTGGTAAAACAGAACAAAATGACTTAACTTCAGGAGAAAAAAGATAAAGCAAGCCGAGTCAAAGAATGAGCAGGCATATCAAGGTAAAAGAGGAGATAGCAGAAGATACAACACACAGCAACTGCTTCTGCTATCGACTAGCATCTGATGAAAAAGTAGGTAAGGCTTTCCCTTATACTCAGAGAAGAAGAAAAAAAAAGAACAAGTATATCTATCACTGTAATAGTCTGAGACATGATAGAAAGAAAAGAGAGAGAGAGAGAGACAGGCTATTAAAGGGGGAAAGTACATGCGGGGCTGCATTGCATTGTAAACAAAAAACAAAAAAAAACCCAACCCAACCGTTTCTTGTATTACGAGTTGCTTCTTCAAACACTTTTTAAGGTGCCACAGGGTTTGTTCTACATCCTGAACCGAATTAATGGAATTAACCCGTCCATCTCTTTGCAAATTTAAAGGCTACGTCTTGTCGCTAACTTTTTTTTAACGCGCAGGTGACTTTCCACCGCTGGAAAATTAATGCCTTCCCAGGAGAAAAACTCCTGTTGCGCGGTACCCCTTCGTCCCTCCCTCTCCTGGGTGTAGCTCTATGTTTTCCTGAAACGAGAAGCACGAATCACAGAACTGGGCGAGGAGGAGGAGGGAACTTCCTTTTCCGGTGGCAACATGGCGAAGGCCCGCGTGGTGCCCAGCGACTTGTTCCCGTTAGTGTTCACGTTCTTGAGGGAAAATCGCTTCGACGAGGCGGCGCGCGCTTTCCGAAAGGCGACTGGCGTGGTGAGGCAACGGCCGGGTGGGCTCGCGGGCG